TGTGTTGTGTTGGCGAGGCGCTCCAGTATCCTGCCGCTAGCTGCTTCTGTTTAGAAATGTATGTTAGTAGGTCAGCGGTTGCATAACAGGACGTTTCGGGTGCCTCGTCACGTTTTGTTTCTTTCTTTTTGCCCCCACCTACTTGCCCGCTGTTCCGCCCTCCCTCGCTTATCGAAAGCCTATGGCGACGTGAGCGCATAACTGGGAGGGATCAGGCAGTCGGCCAGACCTACTCCTAGATGAAGGACGGTCATATTCATAATAAGGCTGACATGGTGAAAACAAGTAGATGTTAAGGTTACATGTGCATTATGATATGCCTATCAAAGCGTATTCGGTAATTGCACGTAACACTCTCCTTCTCAGTTTTTAATTATTTCCCCTTCCAGATAAAAAAAGTGGTTTATAAACAAATGCAAGAATAAACAAGTGCCTTGTGAAGGCCTTGACCAAATTTTCCATGTAAACTGATGTTTTTGCCAGCTGATTTTATTTCGCTTAATGTCTGAGTGAATCCCAGTGACAGTATTTAAGGATAAGTTATTTGTACAGGACTGTCTCAGTCATATTTCACCCCCATTATTTTAAACAAAGGAAAATGAAATCCATTTAGACGAGCATTAAGATACTTTGCATCACTATTTTTCAGACAATAAAGTACATTTACCCCCAGTTATTACTCATAATTACTGAAATGCGTCTTGACATTTTACTTTTGCATTTTACTACGTATTGACATGATTCTTTTTACTGTGTTTAGGAAACTATATATAGGATTTAATTGTAATTTTTTTTCAGTGATGTTTAAAATTACTGTAATACCATGATATAGCAATACATCAATACTTTTTAAAAATATTTTTTAATAATTTTTTTAATTCAACCGAATAAAAAAAATCAGGCAATCTAGCAAATAGTACTTTACAGATATTTTAACATTATGGTAATGAGAATATCATTATTATTATTATTATTATTATTATTGATAATAATAATAATAGGCCCTATGATAATAAAACCTTGACCAAATTACCTTGATGATCCTAAATAAATAAATAAATATTTAAAACTATTTATTTTGTTTTATTTTACAGTGAAGTATGACCTGGGCATTTTCTTGACAGCTTTTGTGAGAATCCCCCATGTGCTGATCTAAATAGGAAAAAGGGATTGGCAAGATAGTGTTGGCAATATGTTTCCTCATTTTTCACCTAATTTATTTTTTCTAATTTAAATTAAGAAAACAGCATGTCTCCCTTTCCTTACTGATTGAAGTCACAGACACAATAGTATTGTGAAGATGACCTTGAACTTAGATGTGGCCTGCTGTCCCCTCTCCCAACTCCTTCCCTCCTTCTACCCCCCCCCCATCCCACCGTGTCCAGCATCGTCTGCTGGAAGAGGTTTCCATGGCAACCGTCGCGCTACCCGACTTACGTCAGGCCTCCCACTGAACGCGTGAGTGAAGATCAGCCAGTCAGGGGTCAGTGGACTTGTGGAACAGGGATGTCAAGGACGGAAATTAACCGGGGATCATGAATGTGTGGACGTTAAAGAGCTTGCAGAGCTCGTTCAAGAAAAGCCTTGTCTTGTATTAGAGTTTACTCTCCTTAAATAGACTTGCATCTATTTATATGCTCTTACGTCACCAGACAGGTCTCAGCTGAGCTCAGTTCTCAGGGGATTGAGGTATATTGGTGTCAGATGTTTATTCTTAGTCAAAAGGAAGTACAGGGAAATGTCAAGGTGTAACTTGATCTTGAATCAGGTGATTTGGCTGTGCAAATCTTTGCGTGTCATTTAATTCGGTTTATATTATTAATGCTGTGCATGTGACTGTGAGTGCGTATACTCTAATTGGAAATACAAAATGATTTGCTGACCTCTTGTGAATTGTGCTAGTGTTGCAAGAACAAATGTGGATTATTTGACGCGTTATAGGCCTGTATATATATATATATATTCAATATACTGTAAATTGAAAATGATTAAAATCATTCAAATAAAAAGCATGCGGAGTTGGAGACAAATATATAAATAAGATTTATTACACTTTTTTAAGGGAGCAATGGATTCTTTATTGTACACTGTACACAAATTGAAATGTACTCAACTTGAAATGATTTTTCAAAGTTTTGAATAAAAACAGATAATTGGAGTGCATTTTACAAGAAAATACTTTTTCAGCTTTTTTCATTTCAACATTTCATGTTTAATTCATTGGCGAGGCGCTCCAGTATCCTGCCGCTAGCTGCTTCTGTTTAGAAATGTATGTTAGTAGGTCAGCGGTTGCATAACAGGACGTTTCGGGTGCCTCGTCACGTTTTGTTTCTTTCTTTTTGCCCCCACCTACTTGCCCGCTGTTCCGCCCTCCCTCGCTTATCGAAAGCCTATGGCGACGTGAGCGCATAACTGGGAGGGATCAGGCAGTCGGCCAGACCTACTCCTAGATGAAGGACGGTCATATTCATAATAAGGCTGACATGGTGAAAACAAGTAGATGTTAAGGTTACATGTGCATTATGATATGCCTATCAAAGCGTATTCGGTAATTGCACGTAACACTCTCCTTCTCAGTTTTTAATTATTTCCCCTTCCAGATAAAAAAAGTGGTTTATAAACAAATGCAAGAATAAACAAGTGCCTTGTGAAGGCCTTGACCAAATTTTCCATGTAAACTGATGTTTTTGCCAGCTGATTTTATTTCGCTTAATGTCTGAGTGAATCCCAGTGACAGTATTTAAGGATAAGTTATTTGTACAGGACTGTCTCAGTCATATTTCACCCCCATTATTTTAAACAAAGGAAAATGAAATCCATTTAGACGAGCATTAAGATACTTTGCATCACTATTTTTCAGACAATAAAGTACATTTACCCCCAGTTATTACTCATAATTACTGAAATGCGTCTTGACATTTTACTTTTGCATTTTACTACGTATTGACATGATTCTTTTTACTGTGTTTAGGAAACTATATATAGGATTTAATTGTAATTTTTTTTCAGTGATGTTTAAAATTACTGTAATACCATGATATAGCAATACATCAATACTTTTTAAAAATATTTTTTAATAATTTTTTTAATTCAACCGAATAAAAAAAATCAGGCAATCTAGCAAATAGTACTTTACAGATATTTTAACATTATGGTAATGAGAATATCATTATTATTATTATTATTATTATTATTGATAATAATAATAATAGGCCCTATGATAATAAAACCTTGACCAAATTACCTTGATGATCCTAAATAAATAAATAAATATTTAAAACTATTTATTTTGTTTTATTTTACAGTGAAGTATGACCTGGGCATTTTCTTGACAGCTTTTGTGAGAATCCCCCATGTGCTGATCTAAATAGGAAAAAGGGATTGGCAAGATAGTGTTGGCAATATGTTTCCTCATTTTTCACCTAATTTATTTTTTCTAATTTAAATTAAGAAAACAGCATGTCTCCCTTTCCTTACTGATTGAAGTCACAGACACAATAGTATTGTGAAGATGACCTTGAACTTAGATGTGGCCTGCTGTCCCCTCTCCCAACTCCTTCCCTCCTTCTACCCCCCCCCCATCCCACCGTGTCCAGCATCGTCTGCTGGAAGAGGTTTCCATGGCAACCGTCGCGCTACCCGACTTACGTCAGGCCTCCCACTGAACGCGTGAGTGAAGATCAGCCAGTCAGGGGTCAGTGGACTTGTGGAACAGGGATGTCAAGGACGGAAATTAACCGGGGATCATGAATGTGTGGACGTTAAAGAGCTTGCAGAGCTCGTTCAAGAAAAGCCTTGTCTTGTATTAGAGTTTACTCTCCTTAAATAGACTTGCATCTATTTATATGCTCTTACGTCACCAGACAGGTCTCAGCTGAGCTCAGTTCTCAGGGGATTGAGGTATATTGGTGTCAGATGTTTATTCTTAGTCAAAAGGAAGTACAGGGAAATGTCAAGGTGTAACTTGATCTTGAATCAGGTGATTTGGCTGTGCAAATCTTTGCGTGTCATTTAATTCGGTTTATATTATTAATGCTGTGCATGTGACTGTGAGTGCGTATACTCTAATTGGAAATACAAAATGATTTGCTGACCTCTTGTGAATTGTGCTAGTGTTGCAAGAACAAATGTGGATTATTTGACGCGTTATAGGCCTGTATATATATATATATATTCAATATACTGTAAATTGAAAATGATTAAAATCATTCAAATAAAAAGCATGCGGAGTTGGAGACAAATATATAAATAAGATTTATTACACTTTTTTAAGGGAGCAATGGATTCTTTATTGTACACTGTACACAAATTGAAATGTACTCAACTTGAAATGATTTTTCAAAGTTTTGAATAAAAACAGATAATTGGAGTGCATTTTACAAGAAAATACTTTTTCAGCTTTTTTCATTTCAACATTTCATGTTTAATTCAGTGTTACTTTGCCATTTCTTTGTAACTCTGAAATTTAGTTTTGTTTCTACATCAACTCTGTAATTGTTGTCAATGCTTAATATATTTTAGATTTTTTTTTTTAACCAACAATCTTTCAAGAAATATCTTAAACATACGTAACAATCCACAACACATACATAATAGGATTGAATTAGGAACATTGAATGTGGTTTTTCATTACAAACCTGCTTTCTCAGGAACGTAACATCTGAGTTGGTATATTGAGACATCTAAGATGTCATTGCCCCCAGGGCTTTGAATATTTCTGTTCAAACGTCATGTATACTAAGCAGAGGTGATGGTCCGTGAGAATTGCACTTGTGTACATGTCAAAACATTGTCCTGGGTTATTCTGGGAATTCAGAATTCAGAGATGGTTCTCAGATTTTAATGCAAGAGAATTTGTTACAAAAAACTGTTCGCTGTTCGAAACCTCAAGACAATTAAACATACTCTAAATATTATTAGCAATATAAAATTTGTATTAGGTTATAGATAGAAATTAAGCTGTACAAATTAAGCTTTAGTTTAATAATAAAAGGCAAACAAACTGTTCAAATATTTATTCACACAAACATGTCATGTACAGGTACACAAGAACTCACAAGACGACAGAAATTTTACCATCACAAAATGTAAGTAACAGTGTAGGTCAATTAGATATTATCCTTGTCTGGACAACGGCAGAAATCTGTATGAAAAAAAAAATGCAGTCATTCAGTGCCGAGTTGCTACTGGTTCATGACAATAATCAAAATTAATTACATTATTTTCCCCTTCCTGGTGTTTCCTCATCTGCTTTAATCAGTATATATGATGCAAAAAAAAAAACTATTTATACTTATACTTCATTCATACATCTGTCAGACCACAGGAGGAATATTACAGTGTGAAGACTATCAGGCTCACAGTGCATCTCCTCTCACTTACTGACAAGTGTTTAAGTAGTGTTGGCACATAGACGAATGACGTTACAATGGAGGATGTTATGCTTTTCTAAATTGACAGTGACAGACAGGTCTGTGAGTGCAGACATTGTTTTATTGGAGCCTGAGGCGTTTTTTGAGCAAGATCACAGTGTTTGAGGCAAAAGGACCAACTGATCGAATTGAGGTGAGGTGTTGTAGCTGACATGTGCCAATGCCGCTGGAATGATCTTGCATGTTCCTGAATGCAAGTTGAAGGAAGGGGAAAAAAAAAGTCATTATCCACCTTATTTATAACATAAGAGTGGAGCACGGCCATTTGTATCTTGAATGTCTGAGGCTTCCGGAGTCATTTGCTTCCAGGCTATTATGCTGCTTGATATCGCAAACTGGTAATTCTTATTATATTTTTAGTTAGTATCGTAATCTTAAACACACTTTTTTGTGGTGCAAATAGTTTTACTGTTTACTGCACTTTGTTATTCTTCTAGTTTTTTACCTAATGAACCAGAAGTCTCGCACATACATAGAAAATAGCTTACTTCCACATTGCAAAATAAGGTGGATATGCAAGTTCTGTTTGGTTATGACCGAGTGTGAAGAGGTAGTGATGCACATGCTGCGTTCTTTCCATTCATAATCTATGGACGTTCATGAATTCGACTGTGAATATTTGCAGTGTTCGAGTGCACTCTTTACAAAGTCTTAATTCGTTTTGGTGAGCAACTGCTCGGAGAAGAGCTTTTTGAGCTGGGCCACTTCCTCGCCGAGAGAGCTGAGCTGAGATTTGAGCATGCTGTTCTCGGCTTGGTATTGAGATTCGCTTGGGTTCACATTGTGGCTGTAATTCCTGTACTGCTGCTGTAGTGGCATGACTTTTCGGGCGTCTTCTCTGTCTTGTGGTGTCCAGTAACCTGCTCCTTCAGTTGTACCCGAAAGGTTATAAACCCTAGGGCCCACTGCGGGCAGCACAGGACTTTGTCGGTCTCCGGGGTTGTCGCATTCGCCGCCGCCTGGAGACTTAAACCTCAGCTTGTGCGGAAGACTCTTCATACTGTCCACTGACTCCATCCGGTTGGATGACATGGTGAGCTGTCCCGTTGCTAAAACATCAGCTGAGGAGTGATGGGACTCGTAACCCAGTTCATCTGCTTGGTGCGGAGACAACTTTCCATGGTCACTTAGTCTGTCCTCAAAGAAGACGGGACTACCAACACTGGACCCACCGGGTGTGGAGAAACCGGAGTCTTCTGACATACTGATCGTATCTCTGATACTTCGGCCAGATTGCGGTCCGCTTTGGGACTGATTTGATGATACTGGACCAGCTTGGTGAGCGCCATCCCCACGTGGAAGGTAGTAATGTGGCGCCGAAGGTTGTGGGACGCAGGTTCCTGTTGTGAGCGGAAGTATGGAAGCGTTTGAGGGATCTCTAATGAGGCCGAAGCGAAATTTCAGTGCGAGCAGTTCCGCTCGTAACCTGGCGTTCTCCTCGAGCAGTGCCAGCACGCGGTTTTCCAGCACCATGTCATTTACACGCCGTTTCTCACGAGAGCGCTTTGCGGCTTCGTTGTTTTTCCTGCGCTTGTCCCAGTAGCCCTCATCCTTCTTCTCGTGAGCAATAAACTCCCGCTTACGCCTCACAGAGGTGACGTTGTCTGAATCTGTGTCTTTGCGTTTAAGCGCCGACGTTCGGCCCAGTAGTGAGCGTGCAAGCAAACTGCTTGACGTCAGGATGGACACAGCTTCATCGGTGAAAGAAATTGTGCTACTGGGAGCAGTCGCATTTAACACCCTCATCTCCTGAGATGACTCGTCAAACATCTTGAGGTTGTTGTTTTTTTCTTCCTCAGTTGCAATGTTAAAAGTTGTGGTTCGTCTCTGGTGTGTTTGAATGTGGTTTTCAGGTCAATCTCAGATGTTATTGACGCAGCAGTGGCTCCACCTGGTGGCAGGAAGAGCACAATGATATCCAGTCAGTTACGTAAGATCAGTTACAACACAATGTTATGTAACTTCATTACCTCCCAGTGGCAAAGCACAGTACGTTCTTGCGACACCGCATAATAACGAGGTGAACGAGTGTACAGTTATATAGCCACCTTACGCAAAGTGACATAACCGTACCGAGTTAGATATTCATCACTTGAATATCATCACATAGACTAGTTTTTAACAACAGTAAACGGCTACTTTATGTAAACCAGAAATGCCATCTCTAAGAATTCCCGTGTTGACCTCTTTGCAGAACAGCTTGTGCCTGATTGAATCTTATCTTTCTGTCCCAGTGAGTCACTTCATCATGGGATCCTGCCTTACACCAGGTTCTGTTACATAGGCTATAGATTTAAAAAATGTTTTATATAATATCGAAAGCTATATGTTAATAACCTTTCCTCGTACAAAAATAAAGACTAACAAAAACGAAATCAGTGGATTAAACATGATAATACTCCAAAATAATTATTTGGTTTAAGTTAACATTTCGGAATGACTTGGATTTATGTATTTAACTAAAAAAAAAATCTTATTTTATTTTCAATTAAACAATCCTATTGAAAGCATCCCGACTGCATTGCAAAAATAGGCCTATCTTCTATTGCATAATGTTACCAAATTAAATTTAGTGGCTGTTTTGGTTTTTAAGATGGTCTAGATGGCCCAAGTCATCTTTGCACCAGATACAACTTTTGGTACATGTCCCAAAACAAGGGATTTTTCCAACAGTGATGTTTAGCAGTAATATTCCAAAATCTAGGCTATAATTTGTCCAAATTAAACAAAGACTTAAACTACATATTAAAAAAAATAAATAAATAGTTCAGCACAAGTCATACAACTTGCACCTGTCAGATATATAGACTATACTTTTATAGGCTACACAAATATACATGTGGAATGTAAACTTTAATACAGAATTACAACAAGCATTTTACCATTATAAATCGTCGCGTAATTCTGTTCAGAAAGTCTTCAGTTCAAATCGTTTTCGGTGACATTCGTTCCGCGGTCAGTCCGGTTCTTTCCCAGAAGAAAACAAACGGTGTTCGGTTTCGCTTTTCGCCGGTTAAAGTCAAACGGACTGTTAGCTCCGTTCAGTCGTTCCGTGTCTGTTGCGCCTGCAACGCGCGCGGCCCCTATTTGTGTCTTTGCTCCATCAGGTTCAGTCGAGGACGCTCCATCACCCCGTCTGAACCATATGTGTGTGAGTGGATGAACGGACCGCCCCCCTACGCGCGCAGGACCCTCCTCTTCTCTCTAATCTCTCCCTCGTTACAGTTTGCGTCAGAATAATCTTTTCGAAAGCATTAAGTAATATTGCTCAATCTCCCCCGCCCTCTCCACTGTCCTCGTGTGTTCTGAAAATCGACTGTTGTCCTCAATAAATGTACAGGAACTATATTTAGACTAGTGACGCGGGGCCAGCTGTCCTTTTTCAAGACAGCACTGAGGTAAATGCCACAACAAGCTATAAAACACTCTGATTATATGTTGCTTAGATAAAAACCCCTTTGCTCTGTAAAGACAACTGTGTAAACTGCTTTAACAATGTTATGCAATGGTAAAACACTGATGTGGTAATCATGGTATGTGTACCATCTAATACTATCACTTTACCACGGTGGAATTTAATTATGGTTCTATTTCTGTTTTTAAACAACTTCTGGTTTCTAAAGCACACAAATTCAGCCATCACAGAAACAGTAATGCCAAGGCAAGTTTATTTATAAATAAATATATTAATATAGCACATTTCAAACACAAAGACACTCAAAGATATATATGGGCAAGAAAACACTTATGAAATTTTGCTCCTAATATAGTAAGTAATGCAATCATTCATTGTAATATCCATAAAAGTATATAAATGGATCAGTAGATTATTATAATATGAGTGATTTATACAGTGTTCAGGTACTCATGCTATGAAGCTTGTTTTCTTACATGCAGACTGTTTACCTATGTAAAATTAGTCAAATTGAATTGCTAAAGGCCTATTTGCATTAAAACCCAGTTGTTTTGCGTTAAACAACCAATACTGAAACATGCCAAAAAATTGGATACAGGCTATAATTCAACAATAAAGAGATATTTCACCCAAAAATGAAACTTCGGTCATCATTTACTCACCCTCCGCTTGTTTCAAATGCAAAAAGAAGATAATTTGAAGAATGTTGGTGACTAAAAAGATGACTGTAGTTATTGACTTCCATAGTATTTACAGTTAACTCTTTGGTTACCAAGATTCTTCAAAATATGTTCTTAGAGGTTTGGAACATGTGGACAGTGAGTAAATGATCAAAAATTAAATTTTTGGGTGAACTATCCCTTTAAATCACTAAATGTGGGTCCAATTATCACATACTGTAACCAAGTGTATCTGCAATTCACCTAAATCTTTATTGTGCTTTGTCCTTCAAATTAGTTTTTTGCAAATCTCATTGACCCTGGCATACTATCTCCACTGACAGACAGTGTGTGCTTACACAACAGCTCTCATAGCACTGAGAAACTGGAGAGAAAGCAAAACTGACAGCATGCATGCTTGTGTTGCATGCCATGAGGAACAGCAGTATGTTCATCTTGCTGAAACAAACAAACAAACAATCCCGCTGATTATAGCATGGCCTCGTCTTCTAAGCAGTGTGTTACCTCCTGCTCTTGATCTGCGAAAGCCACATGAGTGTTTTTACACTGCATTAGAGTGATCAGATCAGCTCTGGGCCATCTGCTGTAGCAACTGACACTACATGAGGCAGATGAGAGATTTTTACATGAGAATTTATAGTAACTTGTGCTTGGGATGGCTTAATCTGGGCAATGCACTCACGATAAGATGCATTTTTGTTTATTGCAACAATCTGATTAGTACTTGTCTCACGGCGTCACTAAAACACCACGGCCCCATATGACCTCTTTGGTATCAGAGAGGTAACATGAGATTTCACCTTACAAACTCCAAATTTGGTGACAAACGTGAATTTATAAATCCATTCATCCATCCAAACTCAGTGGCTGAAGAATTTTACCCCAAAATTAAAATCCTGTCATAATTTTGTCATCCAAAACTTCTATACTTTTCTTTTTTTTCTGTTGAACACAAAAGTAGATGTTCAGCAGAATGTCCAGGCCACTGAAAGGGAGTAGTTTTTGGGTCTGTCAAGCTACAAAAATGGCAAAAACACTATTACAGTACTGTAAAACTGCTCCATATGACTGTATTCCAAGTCTTCTGAAACCACAAGATAGCGTAAGGTGAGAAAATGACTTAAATTTAAGTCACTTTAATGGTAAATTGCTATTAACCAACGATATACTAAAATTTGGATATATACTATGATACTATTGGATATATATACCATATTTTATATAGTACATCCTACTTAACCTGCATACATACAATACACTCACGTAAAGTAATTATAGCAAATCCCAACTGCGTGATTTATATATCATACCAAAATGTAAACTATTATCGCACAGCTCTATAAAGTTGTATATATATTATGTCCAACTTTGCATATATATATACACTTCACAAAATGTAACTATATTATCACCCAGTTTTTTATATAAATTTGGATATGCAAGTAAACAAAAATACTGTAAACTATATTTAAAGTTATCTACAGCTCTAATCTACTAAATCCGACTATAAGGTATAAAGATACTAAGATATTATAAACATTAACATCATGAATTTCTGTAAAGCTGCTTTCAAACAATGTGTATCGTAAAAGACGCTATACAAATAATTTCAACGTGACTATTGCACTTTATATTAATTAACTGTGTGAATTCTATGCATTAGATTAAATATTAACATAGATTTTCCTTTTTTTTCAGATTTCTTTAGTTAGCAGCATTATTCAGTCCTCATAATAAGCATTATTAAACTCATATAAACCTTCAGTATTACTGCTCATCACTAAAACGTACATTTTGTACTCTTGATGGTTCAGATATTATTATAAACTTGGTTTCGCTGTGGCTATGGCTGATTGTCATTGGTCCAACTAACAACAGCCCTTTTCAGGCAGAAAAACTGGGGGAAAGGTCACTTATCTTACACTGTAGTACAGTGACACCAAAATAACCTTTAACCTTATTACATTCACACGTAAATCTTATTTAATCGTGTGCCTGCTCTCTATGACATAATCAAGTTTTGACCTTGTTTGAGTTTGAAATGTACAAATGCTCTACCAAAGTGCTTGTTAATTCATAAACATTTTGGTTTTCTTGAAAATGTTTAATTCCAAAAAGAACAGTCGTTTAAATAAGTAGAAGCTAGATGTTCTGTAAATTCCTCTGTGTTTATGTGTGTGAGTGTGTGTTTGAGCTGGAGCAGGTGCCCTGAGTTAATCCAGACTGGCTCAGGCTTTAACACATTGACACACTTAGCTGCTTAACCTCAGTCTACCCTTGAAAATAACCGGGTAAACACAAGGGAAGGGCTATCACTGTGGTGAAAGAGGTGCTCTGAACGCTCGAGGCATGGCAAACATGAAGATCTGGTTATGCATTAACTCATCATAGAAGAGGGTTCACATAGCAACAGGAAATGTTTCTGAGCAAATACTTGGGAAGATAATTTATTTTAAACAAGTATAGAAAGCCTCTACTCGGAATCAGAGCTCAATGTCTGAATCTGTGAGAATAACAGCAAAGCATCCTCATCTAACCTCTTGCATGTGTTTACCAGTTCATATGAGGACTTAACTGCAAACCCCTCCTCTCTCTGTTTCTCTGTTCTTTAATGGGGAAGAAAGCATGCAGATTGGTATTGCAAAAGACAAGACAAACTGTGCAAAATAAATATAGTGCCAGTAGAATAAGATGTTAATGTTAAGAAAGTAATTCATGAATTTAACAAAAATAATAAATTATAGAAGAATGAAATACAGACAAACGCTGGCATTTGGTTCTACGACTATTTTGTCCATTAATTTTCTCCAAAGGGTTTGTTTCCATCAATAAAGAGTTGTAGGCATTGAACCAGCCAGTTATGTGTTAAATAATGGCTTAAAAACTTTGATTTGAACCAAAAAAAAAAAGCTTAAAGGGTTAGTTCACCCAAAAATGAAAATTAGGCTGTGTTTTAGTCACCCCAGAGCCATGCTAGGTGTATATGACTTTCTTCGTTCAGACGGATCCAGTCTGAGTTAGATTAAAAATTGTCCTGGCTATTCCAAGCTCTATCATTGCAGTCAGCGGGTGTTGCAGTGCTTCAGTCCAAAAGAAGTGAAATAAAAAGCGTCCATCCATAAAAAAAAAAAAAGTGTCTCACAAGGCTCCGGGGGGTGAACAAAGGCCTCCTGTAGCGAATCGATGCGTTTTTGTAAGAAAAATATCCATATTCAAAACGTAATCACTTTAATGTAGCTTGCGCTCACTGTTGTACACGGAAGCAGCTCCGGGCGGATGACGTATGAGGTCGGCTTTGCGCATGCGCTGCTCAGAAGTGACGCACGCGGAAATGCAGCGGAGATCAAAACAAAACAACGGTCACTAATTAGAAGTACAAAACGAGGATTTGTAAAGAAGAATGTCGATTTCGATATAAGCCAAGAAGAGACTGGTTTTCTTTTGCTAAAGTAAGGAAACTTTGTTTCCTTGGATCCTGTAAACAAACGTTGGTTTTCACGAGACTCACCGGTGCATGCGCAAGGCTGAACTCATACGTCATCCTCCCGGAGCTGCTTCTGTGTACAACTGTTGGCGCAAGCTACATTAAAGTGATTATT